TTTAATTCTTGGTGGCTCTTGAACGGTTAGGATTTCATATTTTGATTTAGACCTTTCTTTTTCTCATTCTTTCTTGAGGCTTCATTTTGCTCAGAGTTACTGCCTTGTGTTGGTTTGGACTTTTTAGTACGATGAACAGTGTTTCTCTTTGTTACAGGAAGGATCCAAAGATTAAACTTCAGAAGAGGATATTCTAAAATTTTTAGGATCTGCTGATGGAGCAACCATCTTTAGGTTTATCGTGAAAGCAACATTTTTAGGGGCTGGTGACAGCTCTGTAGATCATGTCTGCCGAATAATGTAACCCATCGGTGTCTACAGTAACTCCCTTGTATGTGAAGGGGAATTGGTAGCAGTGTTATCAGTTACAGATTCAGTTGGTTTTTTATTTTTCACCATTATTTTACCCTCTGATAACCCCGAAGTTGGTTTTACTACTTGTCTTAGAAGAGAAATGCCAACCGAGTCGACAGGGCACCACTTGGGTTGCTTTTCTATCTTTGCTAATGATTATTCTCTGGATCTTGCAGTTCAGGAAATGTGGTAAATTCAAATCTACTTCAGGATTAGAAGTAGAGCCGCTTTTTTCAATGATTCTGGACTTCCTGTCTGTCCCTTGATGCGAACCTTCTCATTTCAAACTCTTCTCAGCATGAATGGACACATGATGTGAGCCTTTAGCTGATTTTAGCTCAGATGCTAGATTTCCATCAGGCCTTTTGCTGTCAGTCTTTTGTTCATCATATTTTTTTTTCTCATCACAGGTTTTTTCCTTAAGAAAATCGGAGCTTCATTTCTTGTGGGAGAGGGCACATGTGCTCATTTCTGGGCTTCACCATTTGAAACTCTCGGTAACAGCTGGGTTGGTTATGATCACCCCGGGAGGCAGGCGCTGAGCACACATTTTGTGTCAACACAGGGTGTCAGGAGAGCAGGTGCAGGGATGAAGAGTTATTTCAAAAGATGAACATCGAGGTGGAAATGTGGGTGCTCCAGGGGCCACATCTTTAGTATATATTTCTGCCTCACCCTGGTCTCCCTGACACCATGGAGCGTGGCTTGGAGGAGGAGGCTGCCAGAGGAGGCCAGCAGCACCCTCTTGGCTAGGAGGACAGGCAACGTGGCATTCCTCCTCTCTGCCTTAAGCTAGACGTTTTTATTTTTTTCATTTTTTGTAGAGATGGGATCTTTTATGTCGCCCAGGCTGGTCTTGAACTCCTGGCCTCAAACGATCCTCCTGCCTTGGCCTCCCAAAGTGCTGGGATATAATCTATCCGTATAGGCATAAACCACAATGCCTGGCCAAAAAGCCAGATTCTTGACCCTGCTCTGTCATGACCTGTCTGGTGATGATTATTGTGAATTACTGTGCTATTCAGTTTCCTTCTCTCGGACGTGGCGACTTTGGACTAGAATCTCACCACTGGATGGCCATGGACACACCTGTGTTTGAGCTGATGCCCCCAAGTTCCCACTGACTCTGCACTGGCCCTTGCACAGAGGGTCCCTGGCCACTGGGGTGGGAGGCCTCTGTGTGTCCATGTTGTGCCCAGTGCCCCTGATTGCGCTTTTCCCAGGCCTCCCTGCACACCCAGAGCATGCTGCCAGCCCGCTCAGCCCAGCCCAGGAGGAGCCAAGAGAAGCAACAGACCCTGAGCAGCAGCGAGACTTGGAGGCAAGAATGACCCCACCCAGGCCAGGCGCCGGTAAGTCAGGACAGCTGAGGCAGCAGGATAAACTTTCCCAGGGCGACACGCCGGTTGTGGAGAAAGGGTACTGAGGATAACAGCTGGCGGCTTGAGGGTGGGAGAGAGGGCTGGGGAGCCAGCTGGGCTGAGCTGGACCAAGCTTGACAGGCTTCCTGGGAAGGGGCCTCTGAGACAGGCCTAAAAGAAGGTGTGTTTGGCATTCTCAGCAGGAGACAGCGGTCTCAATGGAAGTGCGGGTTCTTCAGGTGCTCTGGCGGCCTGGCACACCCGTCTGGCTGGAGTGAGGGAGGGGCATGCAGGAGCATGTCTTGGGCCTGCACAGGGTTCTGAGAGGGTCACATCAGTGGGGCAGTGTATGTCTTGTCCTGGCATGGTGCTGGTATGTTGCAGGTTTTCAGTAAATGTCCTTTTTCTGAAGACCTATTAGGAACTCTGGCTTTAGTCATCCTTCCAGAGTTCTAAAGGCAAGTCATGCCCATCGTTTCATGGGAATGTGTGACTCAGGGCATTTAGTGTAATGTTTGGCCTTGTCTTCGTACCCGGGTGCTCTTTGCCGGCCTGGCTCTTCTTGTGCTGGCCTGACATTCAGCCTCTGGTTGCTTTCTCTTCAATTATTTTGATGTATCTCCCCCACTGAATGTGACCTCCCACAAGCTGGAGGTGACGTCTTTTCCCTTCCCTGTGTTCCTCCTTCCCAGCTGGTGTGTAAGTTTGGGCTGCCTCGTGGAGTTGCAGAGATGGGACCTTCTTGGGTGGGAAGGCAGTGTCCCTGCCACATTGCAGACCTGGAACTGTGTCCTGAGGCCTCCCCACACGCTTTGTCCTTTTGAGGCCCATCTGGGTGACAGTCAGGTGCTGAGGGCCAAGTCGTTAACACTGGCCTGCAATGGGGGTTGGGGTGTGGCCTTTGTAGCTCTTACCTCTGAAGCTCTCCAGAGAGAAGCCCTGCGGCCCCTTCTCCCTGGCTGGTACTTGAGCGTGTCCAGAGCCTACAGGGGACATGGCTGTCCCACCCTGTAGGAATCTGGTATTGGAAAAGGCCCTCACAAGATTCTCTCTCTCACAGAGCCTCCAGCCACTACCAGTGTTTTGTCCTTGATTAAACAGGAGGGAGAGTCTTCAGATAGGGAGTCACCAGCTGCCCCTCCTAGGGACATCCCGCCCTGCTTGGAGCCAGGTGAGTGCAGGGAGGAGGCACCTGTGGCCATGGCAGAGCCTCACAGGCACTCGGGGGGCCCTTTGGGAGTCGGGTGGGCCAGGGGATGGGACCTGGTGAGGGGCTTCTCTGAGGCTTCTCGTCCCTCACTCCCCAGCTGTTATTTCCCTCAGGACTGTGGGGACCCAGATCAGTCGGTGGTTCTGGTCTTTCCCCATTGCGGTCTGGCCTGGGTGGAACGGTACTGCATGAAAACAAGCTGCACGCTGCCAGGTTTGCAGTCTGAAGATGACAGAAAAGCCACTCCCATGGTCTTGTCCTGGCCTCAGCAGTACTGTGAAGTGGCCAGGCCCACAGGCCCCCGTGACTCGCAGTGTGCATGTGTGGCCTGCGATTTGATTCAGGTTCCTCTGCCTAGCGTCTGTGCTCTCCTGACAGGGCTCGGTGCCAGGACCCTTCCTTCCTAGCGGTAGGGACGCTGGAGAGCTGTCTGCTGAGACCTCAGGTCTTGGGTCCCAGGCACATTGCTGTGACTACCCACTGCTGCCTCAGCCCATCCTTCCCACTGCCCTGTCCTGGCCATTCCTGTGCCTCAGTCCCCCTCAGAGTTGAGAGAGGCCCACACTGAGGTCCTAGTGCCTCTGTCTGTCGCCAGCGAGTGCAGTGCCAGGCCTATGCACCCCGTGCGATTTGTCATGTGGATGAGTAACTTTGAGCCCACAGGGCTCATTGTCCTTCACGCATTGTAACTAACTTCATCAGAACTCGTGGGGGTGGGGTCCTGCCAGCACCTTGCCACGTGGAGTGTCTCACTCTCCAGGGTCTCTGCCTCTCTGCCTCTGCCTCATCCCCTTATCTTCCCGCCCATCTGTCTCCTATCTGGCTGACCCGTGACCTCCCAGGCTCCCTGGCTCCTGGCTTGGCAGTTTGATGTCCTCTTTGCTGATGTCCTTAGCTCGGCCGCCTCCAGGAACGAGGCAAATGGCAGCAAACAGAACTCAATGAAATCCTGAGGCAGTGCCTCTGTGCTGTGAGCACTCAGAGGACAAAGGATTCCAAGGGGGCAGGAGCCAGGCTAATCCTGGAAGCAAGGACTGGGGACAGGGCAGTGAGGTCCCCTTGGAAGCCAGCGTGGATTCCTTTTGCCAGGTGGTGGTGTGGCCATCAAGACAGAGGCACAGTCTGAAGACAAGATGATGCCGGAGCAGCTCTTCCTGGGGGCGTCCCCAAGCCAGACCCAGTGTAGAATCCCCAAAGGTCCTGGGAGCAGGACTGGGGGCCCCAGCAGGCATCACTCCGAGGGTGTGCCCAGGGTGCGGGTCGGGGAGCCGCGGCCACCAGGGGCTCCGGGGGAACCGCCCCGAGTCCTCCCTCGCAGGCGAGAGCGGGCCTTCCCCTGCCCTGACTGCGGGCAGAGTTTCCGCCTGAAGATTAACCTGACGATTCATCAGCGGACCCACGTGGAGGAGGAGCCCGGGGAAGCCCGGGGCAGCTCGCCCACCGGGTTGGGGCCAGGCCACGCCGCCCTGGAGCCGGGAGAGGTGGTGGTTCCGGGCCCTGTCATCCGCTGGCTCCCCGAGGAGCCCGAGGGCCACCGCTCCGTGGCCGGCCGTGCCTTCATGGGGCGGAGGCCAGCGACCACCAAGGTATACCACTGCAGCGAGTGCCTGCGCTTCTTCCAGCAGCGGAAGAGTCTGCTGCTGCACCAGCGCCTGCACACGGGCAACAGTCAGGGCTGGCCTGCCTGTCCCTACTGCGGCAAGGCCTTCCGCCGGCCCTCGGACCTCTTCCGACACCAGCGCATCCACACCGGCGAGCGGCCGTACCAGTGCCCCCAGTGTGGCCGGGCTTTCAACCGGAACCACCACCTGGCTGTCCACATGCAGATTCACGCCCGAGGCCAAGCGGGCCCGCACTTCCTGGCTCCTCCTGCCCGCCAGGGGAGCCCGCCCTGGCCGCGCCCCAGCCGGACTGAGGAGGGCTGAGCAGGCAGGACCTGCTCTCTGCCTGCGGGGCACGGACTGCCTTCCCCTGTGCCTGACTCTGTTTCCTCATCTGGGATGGTTTGGAGAGAGGTTTGTTTTTTGTTTTTTTAAATTCAGATGGGAAGCAGTGGCCCTTTTGGTGACAGAATGTATATGTGTGACCAGATGCCTCCATGTCCTGTTTCCTGAGTTCATCACTCTTTACGGCCTTTGCCACATTCCTGACTTGTAAAGGATTCCTTTGGGCTTAAAGGATGCCAGTTTTTGGTGGGGCCTCTGGTGGGTACCACAGTTAAGAGGAGCAGAGATCACAGCACTGTGATAGAGACACTGGGGACCTGGGGTTTTGACTGTGTGCACAGAGGTCTCGCGCCTGTGATCAGCGTGAGCAACAGCATAGCGGATGGACAGCCTGAACAAAAGGCACTGGAAACTGAGTTTTCTACTTTGTTATTTTGAAACTTTTTTCTTCTATGGAGCTTTTCTAGTGCTTTTGTATGTGTGTAGTTGCAAAGGGGATCAAGAGCTCCTGAGCGGCAGGAATTATTCTGCCACCTCCTCTCTGCATGGGGCTGTCAGGGCTGGAAGAGAAGCTCAGTCTCCACCAGCCTGTGGGTCTCAGTGGGGAGGCCGTGGCTGCTGTTCTGGAAACAAAGTGTCTTTGCAGGTGTAGATTTGGCCCCAAGTGTTCCCAGTCCTTCCCCCACTGAAGAGTCACATGCATTACTGACTTTTGTTATCAGTTGAGAGGGAAATGGAAGACACTCCTCCCCCAAGGTCTCAGTATTCATGGGTGTGCAAGGTCCATTAACTGGACCCCAGAAAACACCCTGGGGGGGGATGCAGAGTGAGCCCAGGAAGCTCCTCCCCAAGAAGATGCTGGGCTGGGTGAGGCTGGTCCGCCCTCCAGGCCTGCTTTGTCCCATTAAAAGAGGGGCTGCCTCCTCTCGGAGGTGGAGTTCTCCTTTGAGAATCAGGCTCTGGGGCAGAGTTGGGCTAGATCTGGGTGACTCCTTCAACCACTGATGGTGTCTCATAGTCCTTGTCTGTCAAAGGTGGTCATGGCTCCAGTGTGTGCTACCTCACTTTAGAGTTGTCAGGGTCAAATTTAGAGACACTGGGCCAAACGTGAAGCCTAGTTTTGTCATGTTCAAGCTCAGGGCCTCCTTTCTCTTCCATGTTGGTCACCAGCCCTTTTCCCCAGTCAGAATCCCTCAGGAAGCAACTTTGTCTTCTGGAGTGAGTGGGGTTCCGCTGAGTTCAGTGAAAGACTTTCCCTCTGGGCTGTGTCCTCCGGGAGCCCTTTATATTTCAACCAAACAAATTCTTACAAAAGCACAAGGTTCAGACTGGAAGTTCAGCCAATATCAGGCCTCATGGAGAAGTCTTGGGGAAAGCTAGCTTCTTGTGCCTCTTATTCACACCACTTCGGGTGCTACCTCTAGAGCAGCCCTGGTGAGGGTAATTCTGCAGCTGGAGTGATGGGTCCCCAGCTATCCTGATAGCTTGCTGTCTAGTCTGGCACTGAGAAGTGGCCAGCATTTGGACCTGCTTCTGGGGCCCTGGCTGTGCCCCTTCCTGTTGCCCTTCTGACCCCTTACAGCTTTCCCAAAGTCTTGAAGGTTTAGGGGCAGGTGATAACACTGCCATCATTTCTGGGGCGAGGGTAAGTATCCCACAAGTCAGCCAAGCTCCCCTGGGTTTGGGAAGAGGCACCATTCATTCTGGGCTGTGGATCCTGCTCACGTGCTTCACAAATGAGCAGTGGGCTGTCAGCAGTTGCTCACACAGGATATGGTGCAAGTGTAGCTGCTCAGAGCCTAACCCTCAGCTGCAAAGCTAGTCTCAGGTGTTCCGGGGATGCCTCTGGGCTAAGAATTTTGCCAAGTTCTTCTAATGCTAAATGCCCTGCACAAATACAGGTACTCTAATAGAAACGCAAACCACGGAATTACTATGCGCTTGTGTGCCCCTTTTGTTTTATTATAACCTTCAGTGTGTTCTGCTTTGAGCTAGGCTTTGGGAGTTTGCCTAGCAGTCAATAGGACGCATTGAAAGAACGTTCTTTACATTGAAATGAGTAAACGGAAGCTTTGTGGTGCAGGAACCTAGTGTGCCTCAGACCGGGAGGTGGGAGCCACGGTTGGGCCGCAGACTCTCCCAGCTCTGGGCTTAGGCTTCCTCTTCTGTAAGACAAAGAAGCAGTTGGGCCACGACATTAAAAGCCCGTTAGAACCGTGAAGGTGGCAGTCTCTGCCCTAATCGGTGCAATAAACGTGTTGGCATAAGTGAATGGTGCACGCAACCCGGTTCCGGCTCTCAGGTAGGTGAGCGGCCGCACAGGGCAGTGACAGCTCGCGACGTGGGTGAGCTGTTGCGCAGGAGCTGCGGGCTCTCGGGGACGCTTTCCCAAGTGACGGTAGCCCAAGCGCCGCCGCTCACACATGCTGCGGGGGCGGGGCCTCCCGGGATGGCCAATGGGAAGCCGTCTCCGGACGGCAGGGACCGGCCGCGCGCTGGACGTGGGCGGGGCCTCCTGGGCCAGCCAATGGGGAGCTGGCCCCGGGCTGTGGGGCGGGGCCAAGCTCGCCACCCGGGAGCCGCCTGCCCGGCCGCGCGCATACTCGTGCGCCGCGCGCCGACGCCGCAGCCTGGACTTACAGCCCAGCGTGTCCCCAGGCCCGACGACGGCGCAAGCCCGGTCCGTGGGAAGAAGGCGGGGCGGGGCCGGGCCGGCGCTGCCTGCGGAGAGGATTGGGCGGCTGGGTCTGCGTGGAGCCGCGCGCAGCGGCTGCGGCGGCGACGACTCCCGGGCGGGGCTGGACAGCGCATGGCCATGGCTGAGGCGGCCGCAGCTCCGGTAAGGACGGCCCTCATAGAGGACTTGGGGACGTGGAGCCAGTCCTGAATTCGCTGGGAGGAGGTCCTACTCCCCAGCTCCGTGTTCCCCGCCCTGCCACCCCTGGAATTGGGGAGGGCTCAGCCTGGGTGGAGGGAGGACAAGGACGCTTAAGACCACACGGTAAAGTCCCTTCTCCATCCTTGGACCCAGTTTCCTCCTCTGTAGAACAAAGCGATGGGACTTAACCACAAGATTTCTGAGGTTCCCTCCAGGCTTGATATCCACTGGATCAGGCTTTGTTGGGTCCAGGTGTAGGGGCACGGGACTGTGGATGTCCTGCCTCCAGAGACTCCCCAAGGCTTTTTCTTTCTGCTCCTGTCCTTTGGGCACACCCATGCCCCAGTGGGCCATCTCAGAAAGACAATCTACCCCATTCTCATCCTCCTTTTCCAAGCTAAGACAGGTGCCATCGTTTGGGGAGGGTTTATTCCCTCCAGTCTGAGCCCTCAGCTTCCTCTGGAGGAGCCAGAGTCTCGCCCCTGGCTGTGAGCGGTCGTCTAGACCTGAACTCTGATTCCAATCAGGATGGGTTTGTGTGCCTGGCCACCGTTTTCCAAAAGTCCCCAGGAAGCCCTTCCTGGTGCTGCTGAGAAGGGATCTGCATTGTTTTTTTGTTTGGTTTGAGACGAGCTTGCTCTCTTGCACAGGTGGGAGTGCAGTGGCCTGATCATAGCTCACTGCAGCCTTGAACTCCTGGGCTCAAGCAATCTGCCTCCCTCAGCTTCCTCAGTAGCTGGACTACATGCGCACGCCACCACACCTGGCTGGATCTGCATTGTAGAGGACTTTTGGTTAGTGGGTTTCAGGCTCAGGCTTGGCCTAGTCCATCCCTGGCCTGCTTGACAAGAACTGTTGAGATGAAATTTTTGTTTGTGAAGGTGGAGGGTCATCTCCTGGTAGAAATAGCTTTGTAGTGGTTTTAGATACATTCCAGGATGCCAGATTTGTGGCAGGGCATTGCAGGGAGGACTGATGTTTGCTCCTAATCTGTGGAGATCACGTACACTTTGTTGTACTGGGCAGAGACTGGACTTAGGGATGGAGAGACCGTGCTATGAGGGGAGGAAGGAAGGGGTAGGCATCTGGTGACTAGTGCCTAGTATGTGTGGGGCACTTTTCTGAGTACTTTTATCAGGGAGGTCTTGGGAAACTCAGTTGCACAGAATTGGATTAATCACAGTCTTTGGTTCATAACACATTCTGATCACTGCTTCGCGGTCCTCATATTTGTTCTTAATAACATAATATGTGCTAATGTCATATACCCTGCGTGCTTTCTCATACTTGCAGTGCATTTCATTCATAGAACCACCTTAGGAGTTAGGAAGTTATGTCTTCGTAGGTGAGAAAACAGAACCTTGGAGAAGTTATGTGGCTTTACCTCCAATTACGCAGGATTCAGATGGCGGGAGAGACTGAGTCATGCTCTGGTAGAGCTCCATTTCCAGCAGTGCTCCCTTAGAACCTCAGCTGTTCCTTGTTGGGGCTTCTTGGATTTTTAATTTTATTTCTGGTAATATATGATACATTTTTCTGCCTCCTGTGGGCAAGGTATTCTTTGAAATATTTCCTTGTTCTGCCACTCCTTCTCTCCTTGTTCGGCTTTTGACTTTCTCTGGTCCCCATTGCCTGGCAGCTAGGACCTGGCCTTCTGTGGAGACTACCCTGTAGCTGGTCCCCAAGGCACCTGGGCCACAGGGACCCCGGATCTCAGACAGGGCAGGAAGTCACACACCAGTAGATGTCAGGGTGGAAGGGCCTTAGAGAGCACCACGGCCAGAACAGCAAGGTCTTCTTCCCCTCTGAGCCCGCTAAGGGGGCTGTGCTTGCTCTGGAGAAAGGTGAGGACTGAGGTTGCTGCCTGGGTGTGCATGGGACCCGGGGCCCCCTGGCACGTGTTCTTGACTGGCTGTTGCTGCTGGGCTGTGATCCCAGGTTGGTTTACTAATTGGCTAAGCTGAGTGGGTGGTAGAGCTGGGATTCCACTCCATTACACTCTGACCATTTGTGATAGTAGTGTTTCTTATTTCCTTTTCTGTTGCCCCCAGGTCTTGGTTCAGGATTGTTCTCACGGGGGCTCTGTGGGGTCCAGTGTGTGCTGTCTTTGACTGTCAGGTGGGGTCTGTTGGGGGTCTGACCAGTGAGGTCTCTGGCACCCGGAAGAAGTCGCCTGCATTGCAGAGGACCCAGACTTTCCTGTAGCTGGGAATGGCTCGGGGCTCTTCTTCTGGTGACTGACTCACTTCCTTGTGTCTAGTCGCAGGACTGGCATATGGGGACGGACCTCCAACGAGAGGCCCAGATCCAGGCCACTGAGATCTCCCTTCTGGCCATCTTGGCTGCTGTTCAGGCTGTGGAGAAGAAGATGGAGTCTCAGGCTATCCGACTCCAGACGCACAGGGACAGCAGAGAAGAAGCTGGCCGACTGCGAGAAGACGGCCGTGGAGTTCGGGAACCAGCTGGAGGGCAAGTGGGCCGTGCTGGGGACCCTGCTGCAGGAGTACGGGCTGCTGCGGCGGCGGCTGGAGAACTTAGAGAACCTGCTGCGCAACAGGAACTTCTGGGTCCTGCGGCTCCCCTCGGGCAGCAAGGGGGATGCCCCCAAGGTACAGGAACTGGGTGTGGGTGGAGAGGACCCACACAGTGGAGGGAGCCCCTCGGCTGCAGAAGCCTGACCCCCTGGGTGCCTAATGCTAGTCACTAGTTGACTTTGAAGGGCTTGAAAAATGTCAGAAGAAAATTGTGACACTAGGAAAATGCCTGTTTTGGCAGATGGAATGGGGTTTGTTGGGAGAGATATGGCTGTGCAGCAATGGTTATACCTCTTATTGTGGAATGATCTCTGAGATCTCCGGGAATAAGGACTGCTCATGTAGGGTTTCCCCAGAAAGCCCTTCCACGAAGTCCACACTTGGGACAGAAGATCTATGTGTGACTAAGAGAGGGGAGGAGAACCCACGAGGCCTGATCCTGAATCCCTTTAGTGGAAGGAACAAGTCATTTAACTTGGAAATGAGTTTGCCCAGTGGTTTGGCTGGCAGTGCTCTCTGGTTTGGAGGAGGGGAGAGAAGAGACCAGGCTGGTTTTGGCTGTTCTCTGTAATGGCCGTGGGTGGCTGTGCTCGCAGGTGCCGGGGGCTCCTGAAGATGCAGCGGTACATTGCTCAGAGCAGCAGGGACACGCCCTGGAGAAGGAGTTCTGCACGGACGCCGTGAAGGGGAACCACGAGGCCCTGCGCTCCCTGGGTAAGAGGCTGGCCCCAAGCCTCAGTTTTATTCCGTTATTCAATCAAGTAAGAGTTGGATGTGAGAGCGGGAAGCACGTGGAGATCGTTTAATCAGCCCTCTGTCTTCAGGCCAGGTAGAAGGTATCCTTAATTATCATTTTAGATTTTATAAAATGATGCAGGTTAAATGACTTGTCCTGGATCTCATGGAGAGCAAATAGAAATTGGAATCTGGTGCTGAGCTGCCCTTCGCCAGCTCTCCCTTGCCAGCCCGTTTGCTTCTGTGGTGCGGGGGCCTCCCTGCTTTGTGTTTGACTCCTAAGCTGTACTCTGCACACTGTGAGTTCTCAAGAAACTCTTGATTAATTGTGGGCTGCTTTTAAGGGGGCCCCAAGTCTAGAAAATGAGGGCCAGCCCTGGAATGTTAGGTTCTTCAGGTAGGGGTGTGTGTGCGCTTGTGTTAAGACTTGATTAGACCTGGATTTTTGTAGCCATCCCCACTCCCATGCTCCCCTGCATACACACCTGAACTCTCCCTGCTTTGGCAGGTGAGCCGTTGGCATTTGGTCCACTCTCTCCCTTGTCACAGGCTGAGGCCCAGAACAGTGTCTTGCTTCCCTTTGCCTGGCCCCAAAGGTTCCTCTTCCAGAAGAGGGTACCAGTGTGCTGCAGGGAGGTGGGGTGAGGGAGGCTGCCTGGCCTTGGGGGGCAGGGGTGAGCACATGGAAGGGAGAGCAGCAGGAAGCCCGAGAACTGACTGCCATGTGTAACTAAATCCCCCTCTTGGGCCTCCATTTCCCCATCTGTCACATGAGGTGGCTGGACAGGTGGACTGGGCTCCTGTCTATGTAGGCAGTGGGATGGGCACCCTTCCTCCTGGCCTTGTCACTCTTACTTCCGGCCCAAGAGGACTGGGAGGCCTTGCCCCGTCCCACACTGAGTGCTGCTAACACACACCTTGAAGGGGAGGCGGGTCCTGCTTTGAGCCTGGCAAGGTACCCTCTCTTTTCTGGGCCTGTGGAGAAAAGCCCTGCCACCGCCCTTTTCTCCCACAGGCTGTGCCACCACCAAGCCAGAGCTCCTGACTGCAGCGGAGAGAGGAGAGGAGGTGAGCAGCCACAGCCTGCCCAGCGCAGACGGGGGCCAGGGCCCTGGCACTGGTGAGTCCCTCAGGGTTGGGGCGGGCTGGAGCCTTCCCCACCTTCACCTGGTATGGGCATATGGTGTCAGGAGTCCCCTGACGTCAGGGCTAGACCCGGGTTCTGACGCCTAAGCCACTTCCTGCACTCCATGCTCAGGTCCTCCTCCTCGAGGCAAGGGACTGTGTCTTGCTGTAACGGCCCTGCCCCCACACATACTAGGGTAGTGAATAATGAACAGTAAGTGAACGATGAACCAGAATAGGAGCCCAGTTTGCCTTTCAAATAACAGTGTTGAATCAGAATGCAATTTTCTAAGTTGAGTAACCCTTTATTCAAATGGCAGCTGGAAACACATAACAGAGGGGACAGTGGGACCACTCTTATCGAAGCAGGGGACAGGAACCCCGGAGTCCTGTTTGCTCAGACAAAATGGATCATGCCATGACACTGCTTCTTAATTTCCAGGTTTTTGTATTTTATTTGGGAAGAGAAGTTCCCCTTTGAAGCAAGCTCTTTGAGTAGGTAAATTAAGTCACAGCAAGCCCAGAGAAGGAGGGGGGTGTTGACAAGGTTATTGAGTGGCTGGCATGTAGGACTGAGGCTAAAAGTAGCATTTTCAGGCACCTGCAGGGCACCAGGGCCCAGTGGAGCGGCGGTGAGTAAAGGAGCCATGCGAAGCAGGAGCAAGGTGGCAGCCCGAGCGAGCGTGCTGAGCCTGCCGGGGAGTGGGGCTCTGTGGTTTCACCGAGCGCTGTTACTGCAGGAGCCTGGACAGGGCTTCCTCCCCTGTGGTACGAGGAGGGGCGCTGGGCCCCTTCAGCAGGGATAGGCAGTACTGGCTCAGAGCCTGTGGCCAGTGCCATGGTCCCCAGGGCTGCAGCTGCTCCCGGGTGTATGCAAAGCAGGCAGGGCCTGGCCAAAGTGCCCCTGGGCCAGAGGCCCCCAGTGGGGGCTCAACTCTGCCAGGGAGCCAGGGCGGCTCCTGAATGCAACTTGAGCAAGCTGGAGCAAACCCCCCAGCACATGGAGGAATAAGGTGGGGGCAGGGTTTGCCCTGTGGTCTGGGTAGTCCTTGTGTTTAGCAGTTGCTTCTGTGTCTTCCTCCCTCTCTATAGCTTCTTTAGGAGGGAGCTTTTTTCCTCTCTTACCCTCCCACAGGCCGTGCCCACAGGCCTCACTCTCAGGGGCTGCTTCCTCTGCTGCAGACCTGCAGGCGCCAGATGGGTGTAAGACTGCTTTATTTACTGGGTGTTTCCACAGGTGGGCTCCTCCTACCAGAATTCTAGGAACGGTGTAAATGGGGTCCTCATTCAGGTCTGGGCATTGCACTTTCAGCACGTTCCTCAGGTGATTCTGGTGCAGTCGGAGTTTGAGAACCAAGGCTCCGCGATCCTTCTGAACAGGAACTGACCAGCCTCCAACCTTTGCAAGTATCTGTGTTCTGATTATGCAGATTTAGTCTCACAGGAGCACACTCTCGCCAAGCAGTGCAGAAGTCACGGATAAAGCTAAAGGCTCTCTCTACTGGCCACCTGCCCAACCCTGGTCCCCTCCCCAGGGCAGCCACTATTCCCATTTTGCTGCCTAAAAGCAAAGACTGAGATGGGAGGGGAAAGGAGCCCCATGACATCTGATGCCCTCGGGGCCTTCTGCTCTCCCCCTAGGAACAGGCCAGCTGGTCTCTCCCCCAGGGATTCTGCCCTGGCTCAAGCAAGAGGAAGAGGTGTGTAGGCAGAACCAGCAGGGCCCCCAGGAGACCATCACTGCACACCTGCGCTCAGGTGAGGATCAGTGGGCAGGGCTGCAGGCTACGTGCCTGGGCCTTGGGAAACGAGGGGTCCCCCTGGGGAGCCTCCCGTGTTCTCTCTGGTCTTGTGTGTTTGCTGTGCTGCGTCCTCCTATACAGCTCCATGAAATGATTCTTTTCTTCCTGAAACCGGGTCCCAGCTTCATTTTATGAACTTGTCTGTAGGCAGCACAGTCTGGGCAGGGACTCACAGATGCATGCCTAAGACAGTGTATTCTCCCCTGGAGGAGCTTGCAGTTAGGAGGGAGGAGGACACTAGCATGCTTATCAACAGTGTAAAATAAAATAGGAGGAAACAACTGTTACTAGAGCCAGAGAGCCCTTTGAGAATCTGGTGAAAATTATGGCCAGTATCATAAGAAAAAGCACAGATATTTACCACGTGGGTACCACTGAAGGCACTCTGTAGTTATGCTGTGGCAGAAGCGATGTCTTAGTGGCCACGTGTGGCCCAGATGAAGGTGCTGCCAGGTGAACATCACCGTTCTGGGCTTGGGAGGCTCCACGAGAGGGGAGGCCGGAGGTGCTCTGGAGAGGACCCTTGAGCCGGGGCTCAGAGGTGAATGCCTGGGGTGCTTGGGTGGCATTAGGTAGAATAGCACAGGGTGGGACCCTGGCAGAAGGCAAGTAGGAGATCAAGTAGGCCGGCCCAGAGCTAGGGTCTTCAGTGACAGGCTCACGCCGAGCCCCTCTGTGTCCCTTCCCGGAAGAGCCCTGGCTGGTCAGCAAAGAGAAGAGTCTGGATGAAGAGTCCGAGGTGCAGGAGCCAGCCTGGGTAGCTGAAGGGGGACCTGGAGAGGAGGGCTTGGAGGGGGCTACCTGTGGGGATCTGCCTCCTGTCCCCCGGGAGAGAGAAGTGACTTCCATCCCTCCAAGCCCCCAGAACCTGGCTGTACCAGATGCTGAGGGCACGGGGTGGTGCCCACCCTGCGCCAAAGGTGGCCAGAGCTCTGGCTGGAAGGAGCACTGTCCCCAAAGCTTCGCACAGCAGGCCACGCTCGCCAGCCATCACCGTGTGCATGCGGCTGAGCGCACCTACACCTGCAGCCAGTGCGGCAAGACTTTGGTGCACCAGTCGACGCTTACCGCCCACTACCACACGGACACCAGGGAGAGGCCCTATGAGTGCGCCGAGTGCCTGAAGAGCACTGTCCACGCTGCTGGAGCACCAGCGCACACACACCGGCGAGAAGCCCTTCCAGTGCGCGCAGTGCGACAAGCGCTTCACGCGCCTGGCCAACCTGACTGTGCACCAGAGCGCGCACTCGGGCGAACGTGGCTTCCAGTGCTCCCAGTGTGGCAAGCGCTTCGTGCAGAAGCCCAGCTTCTTGCAGCACCTGCGCGGCCACTCGCAGGAGAAGGACTGTCCCTGTGGCCAGTGTGGAGAGAGCTTCATCTGTCCCTCCTGGCTTGTGCGCCACCAGGGCAGCCACGCCACCCCCTGACTCGTGCAGTGTGTGAGAGGGGCTCCTCAGCTGCGGAGCCGGGTCGCCGCCTCAAGGGTGCAGTGTGGGGAAGGCCCCTCAGTGACCCTTCTGCTGTGCCTAGATTTGAGACTGCCAGGGCTGAGCCGGCTCTCAGGGGGAGCCCTGGGGCCAGGCAGCTGAGTGGTGGTGATCAGGAAGGTCTGGTGGGGTCCCTGCACAGTTCTCCCTGTCGTGTGAAGATGGAGAATACAGGGTAGCACCTGGAGAGCTCCCTAAAGGGGCCACTAAGGGTGCAGGGGCGATTGGTGCTCCTTGAACCCAAGCAACCTCTCCTAAGGGGTGCTCCTTGGCTAGGTCAGAGTCTCCTGTGCTGTCATCTGGGCTTCCCAGGGGAGGGCTGTCGTCCCAGGGACTGTGAGGTGGGCAGAGTGCCCACGGGCGTCTTGCTGCAGGGAGGCGGGGCCCAGGGTGAGACCTGAGCCTCACTGGAGGGGACTGCCAGGGTGTGGGTTGGGGTGGTGGGGAGTGGCTTACTGTCCTTGTTCCATTAGGGGAGTGGCTTTCGGAGACACTGGTTAGGAGATGGCAATTGCACATAGGGAGCCAGGGCTTGCGCACCCCGAACTGTGCCTCTGGGTTTCCTGGATGCTACCTGTGCAAATTCTAAAGCGCTTCCCCAGGTGGGCAGTAGTGCTGGGAGGCCCCGGCAGGAGGCCAGGCTATACCCTGCCTCCTGTTTAACAGGCTGGACCCCAAGCATCCCTCAGGTGTGAATCTAAGAGCCTTGGTGAGCTGTCACAAGATTCACAGGAACTTTCTGTAACTTTAACCCCCCCAGACCCCTCCCAGACCCCCACCCCACCACCTTGTTACCTGGGAAAGGCAGCTTTGTGGGCCACACTGTCACAGAAGGGCCTGGGCTGGCGGTTCCCTGGCACTCCTGACCAGCCATCTTGGCCCCCATAGGCCCTGTCTCGTTGGTGTAAGATTTGCCTTCGAGCCATTGTTGTAGCAGGCAGGCAAAGGGGCCTTTCTGAAGATCCAACCTATGCTGGCCACTAGAGGTACAAAGAAAACCAAGGCCTGGTCCCTAGCTATGGGGCTATAAAGGGTGTCCGCCATTGATGGTGGCATGAGGGGAGCACACAGCAGTGCCAGCAGATGGCACGGGCTCCAGTAAATGTTGCAGAAGCACCTAAACGTTGAAAGGAAGCGGGGAGAGAAACCTGGACATGGCCTGCCAGCAGCTTAAAAGTCCCCCCGAGACCCTGGTGGCCTGTGCCACCATCTGAGCAGTTTAGGCCAATAACTTGGGCTTTTCAGATCGGCCCTTGTGGATGGCTGGGACCCTGCCATTTTGCTAAATTGAATTCCTCCTCAGCTACTGGAGATCCAGCTGCGACCCTGACTTCCCCGGCTCCCTAGGAGTTCAGAGCCCAGCTGCCAGATAACCCCCATCTCCACCCCCTCCGACCCTGAGTACTTGAAACACACGCATGGGTTTCCGAGGACTAGTTCGGGAGAGGCTGGTGCTGTCTGCACCGTCTTCCTCACTGGAGGGCACGAAGCAGATGTCAGTGAACCCTGGAGAGCTGCGTCCGGCCAGGCGAGGCGGCTCTGGCGTTGCATCCCAGCTTTCGCCGTCTGTGTCTTGAGTAGGTTTTTAGTGGAAGCTCTGTGATTTGCCATGATAACTTCAAATCTCTGTAAATAAGAAAATATTTATGAGGAATTGTAAATTTCCCATCTTCTCCTTCTTACTCTGTGATTATTCTTATTTGTGATGCAGTAACAATATTTGACTCCAGGTTCCAGTGATTGGTGGTGAATTCCAGTTATTTTCAACTGTGCTTCCATTTGGAAGTTCTGAAAAAAGTCCTAGATGGAGAGAAGTCCAGGACAGGGTTCCAAAGAAAGGCAGAGTCCAGGTGGGCTTGGAGGGCAGCGCCCTGAGCTTCCAGCCCTGTGCCCAGTGCGTAGAAAGCACCCCGTGTTTGAGGAATGAATGAATAAAAATGTTAACATTTATTTACCACTTCCTACTTCGAATAATAGTTATACATTAACTGTATTTCATTGAACCTAAGATCCACCAGTTGTAAGACACATCTTGATTTTCTGTTTCACTAAGCAAGGAAAAAATGTGTCCATTTCACTATGACTGTTCTCAGTGCAGGCTGCTAAGCGCATCCCAACTGTAGACATGTTCCCAAATTGGGAAAAATACATGTGTGGTAGGTATTCTTTTAAGAAGTGATAACTAGCTAGGTGGCTGACAAGTTAGCCAGTAGTTACTATTCTTGACAATGTCAGATCAAAAGATCGTTTTTAGACAAAGGTCCTAGAAGTGTGAAAGTGAACCAAGAACAGCGATGGGTCCTGTCAGATGCACTGGCAATAATTAAGATCCTAGACTGCTCTCGAATTTGACCTGGATCTCAGTCTGTCACCTGGGCTAGAGTTCAGTGGTGTCAGCATAGGTCACTACAACCTCAAATTTCTGGGCTCGCGTGATCCTCCTGCCTCAGCCTCTCGAGTAGCTGGGACTACAGGGCACACTACCACACCCAGCTAATTTCTCTATTTTTTGTAGAGATTGGGTCTTCACTGTGTTGCCCAGGCTGGTTTCGAACTCCTGCCCTCAAGCGATCCTCCCATCTCAGCCTCCCAAAGTGCTGGGATTACAGGCCTGAGCCACCAAGCCTAGCCTCTAAATGCTTTCTCTAAAAACAGCCAGATTGTATGTATTTGTTATCTTACAGGCCAGTCTGTTGCAGCCACTCAGCTCTGCCCTTGCTATGGGAAAGCAGCCATCGATCGTAAAGAAACCAGAGTGGCTGTGTTCCAGGGAAGCTTTATTTACGGGCACTGAAGTTAGAATTTCATATAATTTTCACATGCCACAAAATATTTTTCTAAAGTACAGCTAATATTTATGGAGCACTCTATGCCATTTTTTAAAAACAATTGTCTCATTTACTTTTCCCTAAATCCTATGAGGTCCCATCTTCTTTTTCTCTCCCAGACATTTAGAAATATCAAACCCATTCTTAGCCCAGGGAACTGTACTCTGTGGCAGGCGGTAGTTGGCGGTAGTTTAAAGGTTCTCATTCCATCCTCACTATCGTGGGGCCTTTTATCATCCCAGTAACAGACAGTGAAGCAGAGGCCTAGACAGGCTAGAGAGAAGGGGCTCGGCTGGCGTGCTGGGGGGTGCGGCCACACGGGCGGCCCCTCCCCACCCTTCCCAGAGCTGCAGCTGCCTCCTCGCTCCTTCCCTTCCTACAGGTGAGGGGAGGTGAGCAGGACCTCAGAGGGCCCGGGCCACCCCCGGCTTCACCCGTAAGAAGCCGGGCTGTGTGTGGAGCCTTCACGGCGCAGTCCTGACCGCCCTGCCTGGGCACTCCTCTACTTCGCCACACGCTGTGCAGGCTGTTAGGTTTGCTCCAGGTGGGAGCCCGAAAAGTATGCATAGGACGAAATGCCATTAATCTACCAGCCAGCATTCCTTCCCCACCACAGAGATGAAGTCTGTCCCTCCCTCCCTCTCCTGATAAGGCCCCTGCCGGGGCTGAAGGGTGGATGTGACTGGGGCAGGGGTCCTAGGGGCTGGTTGTTTGAAAAAGAATTTACTACAAGCGGCTGTTCTGGCCCACTTATTTACTCCCCCCGGAAAAACCCCCTATAAAACCCACGGCTCTCCCTTTCCTGGGGCGCTTTTTCAGCCTCCACCCATTTGCACCCAGATGCTCAGAACGAACAGCATTTTGGTACACGTGAGGCTTCGTGTGTCTCTCTCTCGGCTCCGGACCTAACGGAGGCCACTTACTTTCTCCTGTTGTGGGCTGAATGTTCTCTTCCCTTCTTTTACTCAGCCTTCCCCCTTCCTTGAGGAGCAAAGGTCTCCAGGGAAAGCTATTTCCTGGCCAGAGAGGCCACAGTCCCAGCAATCCAGGGACCCCACATCTGAGCAGGTCGGCAAAGCTGGGGAAGCTGGTCCTTGGCAGCCTGGAGGTGCTCGGAAGGGCCACTTCGCTGCTCCCTCTGCAGGCCATGCCCTGCCCCGGACGTGGGGACCAAGTGACCCCCCGCAGGGGGACAGTGGGGTTTCCATACACAATACCACGAACTGGGTGGCTTAAAACAACAGAAGTTTATCCTCTCACAGTTCTGGAGGCCAGAAGTCAGAAATCAAGTGCCGGTAGAACCTGCTTCTTCCAAGACTTTGGGTGGGACCCTTCCTCGCCTTCTCCTCGCTTCGGGTGGTAGCTTCCGTCCTTGGTGTTCTTGGCGTGCAGTTGGAGCTCCAATCTCCACACCCGTCCTCACGTAACGTTCTTTCTATGTGCGTGTCTGTGTGTCTTCTCTTCTTATGGGGACACCTGTCATATCGGCTTAGGGCCCACTCTAATGACCTCATCTTGAAGTGACCCTGCTTCCAAATAAGGTCACATTCACAGGTACCAGAGATTAGGGGCTTCAACACATCTTTTTAGGCACCACAATTCGACCCATAACAGGGACCTTGCCTCTGGGCAAACACACGCGGTGAAGATTCCCCTCGCCCCCAAGTACCAGAGTGCGTCTCCTAAGTGGGCTATGGTGTGAATGAAACAGGAGGACGCTCACGTGTGAAACCCAGAATAGGGAGAAGCCGTCTGGACGTGAACCCCAACTTCTCTACCTGTGATCCAGTGCCCTACACGCCAGCCCCAACACACTGGCAGGTGACTGTCCCTTCTCTCCAGTGGAGTCACACTCAGGGCTCACATTGTCCTGCAGGGGCCCTTGGGCCTCAACACCTCCTCTGCGGGCTCCTGTCCCCCAGCGCTGTGCGCAGCAACCATCCTCAAACCTGGTCAAGGCTGCACTTGATCCCCTTGCTCCTGCTGCCATGTTCAGCTGGATTCCTTCCCACCTCCTTGTTTATTAGTCAGCGCCTCAGAGCGCAAGACCCAGTTCAGATAGGGAACATGCCATTGCTTCAGCCTCATCCTGCGTATAATTCACGCTGCTCT